ACACATGCTGACCTTGGACCTCCTGTTCTGGGATGGGGCCTGAGAAGAGAGCATGCAAAGGCAGTACTAGAGAGCAGGTGTCCTTTGACAAGAAAGGAAGGCAGGGAAGAGGGTACAGCTCTGGGAGGCAGATGAGAGGTCACTTTAGTGAGCTTGGATCACAGTTGGGCTTCAACAGAAATGATGGGCCCTGCCACGTCAGAGCCAAAGGCAGCTCAGGCCTAAGCGAGAGGAGGAGAAATTCAAAGAATTGAGGGCATGGAGGTTGACTCTGTGGGCCAGATGAGTGATGAGAAGGTGGGGAGATGACAGGCTGGAGAGGTGACCTGGCCAGAGATTTCAGCACCCTGCCAGTTTTTGCTTTGATGTCTCTCAGCTCTCAGCTATGACTCAGTGCATGGACACAGAGGAGGGTCCAGGAGATATTTTACATGTAAAAAGCGACTGAGTGAGTTAAATTCTTGGGTAAACTGCCCAATTGAAATGGCAAAGAGAGACAGAAAGGCGGATGCTGAATGAGGCGAAGTCCTGGGCTTTAGTGCTCCAGATTTAGGCACAGAAATCTGACCCTTGTGAATGCTCCCTAACCACAGGACACTATCCCTTGTGTTCTATAGCTGGCTCCCTTGAGGAATGTGGACTTCCGGGCACCCTGGGAAATTTATCTCTTTGTAATCCTTTGCTTTGTTTTCTAGAATTTTCCTTAGCCTGAGTAAAAAAGGCAAGAGTGGCTTAAACTGAATGAAGCCAGAGTCTCAGTGTTTGTCAGAAGTTGCTCTGGGCAGGTCACGAAGGGCATTTCTGACATATGCGGCTCTGACTCAGCCTCAAGAGAGGCTGCCTTTGACCTGAGTCTTGGAGAGGCAAGGGGGAAAGGAAGTGACAAGCAAGCCCCAGAGCAGAAAGAGGTCTCTGTGCCTACAGTTTCTCCTCTGACTTGTGGATCTAAATAGATATGGTGGGAACATAGCTACATTTCAACTTTTCCCCTTGGGAGTTGTCTGGTCCTTGAATAAGGCAGGATAGTGAGCCTCTTGGCTTTAAATTGGGAACACAAGGGTTGCTGACTCCTTATTATTTTATTTTCTGATCACCTTACACATATTTTTTTGTACATGGATCTGGGCAGTATGGAGCCTGAGGAAATGGAGGCAGAGTGGTATCTATTTTCCTTGGGCACAAATTAGCCAGGCTCACATGCCAAGGAGCCCTTCTTGACGGAAGCTAAGAATCATCCTCTGCTTAAGGAGTCCTGCTTCCTTCCTGTGGAGAGGCTGTAAATGGACCTCATGCGGTGCATGTCCAGGGACAGCACTTGCAGGAGCCGTGAGCTCTGTGGCTGTTGGGCTGCTGTGTCAACATGGCTTCTGAGGCTTCGGAGAGAAAGGGGGGCCTGGAAGGGATGGGACTCGTGTCCCTGGCCTCGTCCAAAGCCTCTAGCATGTAGCTGGTCCTGTTTCCATTGCCTTTTGAGTAGCCTGCTTCCTTAGTATGTCCCGCCATGCCATGCCATGCCATGCCATGCCATGCCATGCCATGCCATGCCATGCCATGCCATGCCAT